TTCAGCTGCTCTTATACATCATTTAAGTAAAATCTCAGGAAGATCAATAGTTTTGTAGTTCGAATTTTAGTGACGTCATGTGAAAACCAGCTATAGTTTCCACAGGTGAATAGAAGAATTGCACATTCTGGTTGGTCGAGAATATAGGCTTATGACGCTAAATTTAATGTATTAGACGGTGAAAATAGCATTTCTAGGGTCATATGTAAACATGATGGACATTTGCTGTTTTGATTGGAGGAGAAGGAGCCTTGAGATGGTCCTCATGCAGCCGACATGCAACACGAAAGGCAACACTCCAAGTCTGGCATGTTCAAAGCATTGGAAATTGTGGACCAAAAATTAAATGTTTTCAAGACTGACATAGTATTCAAGGCATTTAAGAGTCGCAAACGTGGTGGTTTCGTAGACAAACCGTGTCAGATCAAGTGACCGAAATCACTTTCTCTTCAGACAGACTGAACCTTCTCTTTTCCTCAAAATAAGTGCAATTGTCCGTGAAACCACCAGAAGTGAATGTTTATTCCAATCTTGTAATAAACCACGATTAAATCTTGAAGTTTTCATCCAAGGTTAACACTAATAAACAAGGTTTTTGGCGCTTGATGCTTATCATTAACGATCCATAAACCACAATGAAGGGTGGTGGAATGGTCCTTGTATCTCGCAAAATGATCGACCCATTGCACGGGTTTCGCAGTTTCTTTCTTTTAGCGGGTATGTACGTCTCGCAGCCTCTATTTTTCCACGAAGCTGTCTCGGGGTCTCGAGTTTTAGGAAGGCTAAGAAATTCTTGAAGTCCAGATTTGTTTGTTTGCATTTATAAATGATATCTGAACGTCTAAGAGACTAAATGTTTCGTGCCCGAATTTAAAACACTTTTAAAAAGTCTCGGTCTCGCAATTTTAAAGCCGTCAAAATGTCTCGGGCTCGCAAAGATAACCTATATCTCCCTGTCATTTATTTCTCAAGTCCGATTAACTCTAAACAAAGAAATGACTCAACATCAGTTAAACTTGATAAAACATAACAGAAGTTGATTTTTTACTCAATGTTTAAAACCGATCGTCATAAAGCTGATTTTTTTGGATACAATAAAGAATCCCTCGCATAAAAAAGCGGTAAATAAATTTCGCCTCGGAAATCATCGATTACGGATAGAAAATGGCAGACATACAATTCCCCAAACCCCAGAAAATCTTAGAATTTGTCCTTTCTGTCATTTGAATGAAGTTGAAAATGAGTTGTATTTAAAACTTTCCTGTCACCTTTACGATAGTTTACGCTTGAACTTTTTTGAAAACATATATAGAAAATACAATTAATCATTTTGATATTTTAGATGAAAGTTCGAAAATTCTCTTTGTTTTCAATAATGTTGACTCCATGACTGTACACTTACAGCTGCCTATATCCATTCATGCATGGATTACAGACAGAATACTATCACTCAATCAATTAAATTATTGTAATTTATTTGCATTATTTTAGCTGTACTGTATTATATATTAGGTAATACCATGTACTCATATCAGTGGGAATAATGAAATAAACTGTTGTTGTTCAGTGCTTTCATTCATAAAGGAGAAAACTGAAAAATAATAGAAACACATTGTCGTGTTTGGCTTGGAGATGGGATGGCGAGAAGATAGGGGAATGTTTGCCGACGTCATTGTTTACATTTTGCCTCATTTAGCATACGACTCAGTCTGCGTTGGAGAACGCATCATGCAAGACACAAAGTGACTCCAAACATTCAAAAGCTTGTGAAACTTATGAGTAAGAAACTAAATTTAGCTGCTTGTGTGTGAATATTGGCGGAGATATTGGCTTTTGAAACACTTCAAAGTTCTGCCAGCTGTAATGAGCCCATATATGGCTTACAAAATTCTCACAGAATACAATGTTTTATGTATCGAGTAGTAAATCCTGTTGTAAAGTTTGTAAAAGTGAACTCTTGGATTTTGTTCCTGTTCTCATAAGGTTTTCCATCGGCCGCTCCCTGTTTGTTTAACCGCGGTCGCGAGATGGTATTGCATGATTTTACAATTGTTTATAGTTCAGTTCCGAGAACTACTTCAATAGTTGCCATCGAAAGGATGCATACAAATCAAAGCGCGGCCTCTGACTGAAAGCGGAAGTCTTAGCAGCACGCCTTATCTTCAAGTGCTTTCATTTACTTTTCTTTAGGAGTGCAGCTCGAAAGCAACTTTGGCTTAGCTTACTCTCATACTAAGAGATCTTAATTCAACATGTCAGTTTTCTGCGTTGAACGGTTGAAATTCGGTTTGTACCAGTGACATAGTCAGTGCGGTTTTCATTTCGTTGCATATATCGTTTCACTGTCGACACTGACGTGTTTCGATGTTCAATAAACTAAATATAGCTCACTTACGGCGTTTCAGTTCAAACCTCTGAAGCGAAACGCTTCCTGTTTACAGGAGTGTCAACGACTCTAAGTCATGAACAACTCAATCTCGTCAAGGAATTTTTCAGGCCTAAAGCCAGTGGAAATGGCTCGAAGACAAAAGCTACAGTACATGATGTTGGTTTTCACTTACTTTGCAGTATTACAAGAGATTGTGAACGGTAAGTACGAGAAAAACTCGATCAGCATGAGGTAGATTTAAGCAAGTTTCGGTTTGCAATGCTAGCTAATGCTGTACCTCGTTTTGTTCGGAAATATAAAGGAAAGACTAACGTTTTCTCAGTTGAACGAGATCTATACATCTGGAACAAAAAAGGTTGATGGGATGACTGGTTCGTCGCCGACGGAAATACCAAGTCTGTAGCTAACGGAAGTAGGCGGTAAGAGAGTTTTAAAAGATCGCCAAGATTTGGCGCGTTCAAACGCTTCTGCCAAGTTTCACTTGCATGTGACAGCTTAGTTATTTCGTAGAACGACTGAAATCAAAACCTTGCAGCTCTCTGTTTTTACTCGCAGTGATTTGCATATTGATTCGGGAAACTGCCACAGTGGAACCTCGAATATAACGAAGTCCTCGGTATAACGAACGATATTCTTCAGCCCTAGCCAAAGTTTAACAGTCAAATGCTGACAAATGTATGGAACAGAACCTCGATATAACGAGGTCATCGGAATAACGAACGATATTCCTCGCCCCAGTCGGTAATAGTCAAAATATAGCGAACATATTTAGCAAGTACCCTAGCCCCGCGTGATATCGAGGTTCCACTCTACTACCCTGGTGAGCCTTGTTGTTTCAACAGGAAACTGATGTTTGAGTTTGATCGATCAGTGCATGCATATCCAATTATCTAATCTCTTTTCTGTTTTTCGTCTTCCAGACCGTCCTTGATTTCTTCTACAATTAACCCTGTATTTAATAAGCGGGAATCCTGAGACCGTCAGTTTAAAGTGGCAGTATTAGTTGCTCAGTAAAACTTATTCTGCTAATCATTATAACTTGAACAGGCTTTTCTTTTCAGCGTCAAATGTACCACATCCTTCGTTCACTTGCGGTCCCAACGGTATTAAACACGACACAAACGACTCGGAAACACTTGGTAAGTCATGGTTTAAGGATACCCTGCGCACTCATATCATAGCATCCTAATAAAACATTTCCGTGTTGGCGGAACTGAACCGTTTCTGTTTCGATACGAGCCAAAGTCTGGCTGAAAGCGAGCCTCAAGTTTTAGGTTTGTCCATAATTATTACAATACATTCACACTGAGAACTACTTCCCCTGAACAGTGCAGCTGGTCCTACATACATACATAAACTTTATTTATTCTTGAATAAACTAAAATAATGAAAGAAAATTCGAAAAAAGCAGACAAATGCAAAACTACTGGACAAACGTAATTTGTGGAAGTGCTTTAATCTGCAACAGTGCGATATTGATTTGAAAGTGCGTTCCACTGAGGATTTGGCCTCCTGGTATAAAGGCCATAAGAAGTTGTAACTATTCAAGTAGGATGAAAATCTTAACGTATAAGTGTTGAATACCAAATGTAACAAGTCTTTCAAGTATTTATAGCCTGTGACCAGGCTCCCGGCAAGAGCGAAAAAAAATTACGCGAGTGAAGAGAGCCGTGAGTCTACCCGCCATTTTTGCCTCCCAAGACCACTCGATGTTTTTTTCGCCCTAAACTGAACCCAATCGGGAGCCTTTTCAGCCTTGTCATTCAGCTCTGTTTTATGCTATGAGCCACGTACTTGGGTGTCAGATAAGAGGTGGTGGTATCTAACGTCCGTACTGTTCGGCACGACCGAAACTGCCAAAGAAAACTTGACGGTTTTTTCTTCATGTTGTGTACTGCATAGTGGAGCTGAAATGACAGTCATCCATCTTTGCCTTACGTTTGATGGGAATCAAAACTACACTGAGACGAACTTTTACTGACATAAAGGCACTTTTCGCTATCGATTTGACTTTGCGGAACCATATGTTTATAGTTGTGGATTATTATCTGTTTTCCTTCAGGGGGAACACCCAACGTGGATATGACTTGCCCTAAACTGCCAATTAAAATGGACGCACACACAGAAATTGCTTGTGAGGTGCTTTCCAAAACCTTCGCTAACATAACCTGGTTCCATAACCGACAACCAATCAGCAAACAAAGAAAGAGTCACGTGACAGTTGATAGGAAGTCCTGCTATCAAACCCTCAAAATTAAATTTGTCACGACCAGCGATGGTGGAAACTACACATGCCAAGTTGCTAACGCCAATGGAAACGTCAACAAAACATGTGTTCTTGATGTGAAGGGTGAGTCATTGCTCGTTGATGTTAATGTTTATGTGTTTGCTTTAGCACTGGCCTAGTTATAGTAACATTAATGGTGTCAGGGTTAATGCTACTCAGATATGGTGGAATTCCAGAAATTTCTAGGATACAAATGCGAAGTTCCAGAATCCAGAACCCAGACATTTCGTGACGTAAATTTATTTAAAAATTGTACATTTCTAGCTAGCAGCAGACTTACTGTTTGTGGCGAAGGTTATAACCGAAAAGTCATTCGCTTATTTCATATAACTACGAAGATCTAAAAGTTTTTTCCCGAATTGGGGGACAAGCTAATTTTCAAGAAGTCTACCTGAGTCCTGGAAGAAAATTGTAAGATTAGTTTTCTAGAATCCAAGAGTTTTGCTAACCCAGTAGTAAAACAAGGTTAACTAAGGATCGATAGAAGTAAGTTAAAGTAAGGTTCCATGGTGCAAGTGACTAGGCGTACTGGAAGTAACTCACCCTGAATGTGGTGCTGGACCAAGCAAATTATTGCCGCAGCATTTTATCGGGCTCCTCCAACAATTCTCTGGCACTCACTTGGTGCATAGACATGGGCTGAAGGGGTGAAATGCGAACTGGGATTTGTTTGTTTTCACTAGGAAAATGAAATTTGCGTCATTGGGACTGGGAATCACAAACAAAAATAGGTATAGGAATAGTATTTGGCCAAAAAATAGACTGAAATGGGAGTCCCACCCACCCCCACCCCCGTCTCTTCCCCACCACCAAATTCATGAACCAATAAATACTACCTAGAAGGCCTCCGAAGGTAAAATCTCTTACCCAGCAGAAACAAATAACAGAAAGTGGCTGCGCTCCAACTCAATCCAACTTGTTAACAGTTACAAAACCCCACATCATGAAGCTATAAAATATATGCGCATCACAAAGCTCAATACGTATTCATGTGTACTGACAAAACTATCTTTACTCCACAGCTCATACAACCGAAGAAGTCCAGATTGGATATGTGAAGATAGCTGGCAATCGGCAAAAAGCTATCCTTCAAGGAAGTGTTGTGCTGAAATGCAGCATGCTCCACGCGCAAGCTGGTGTCTGGCTGAGAAACAGTGAAAGAATAACGGATAACGAACGTCAAGTCTATAGACACGAACGCATGTTTGGTGCTAAAGTAATGATGCTTTACCTGGAGATCGTAAACGTGACCAAAAATGACGAGGGATTGTACACGTGTCTGGGATACAGAAACGGAAGACAGGCTAATAAGACTTTCTATCTCGAGACAGGTATGTTTGACCGTATAGACATCAATTAGTTTAACAGTCAACTCAAAACGCATCCTTTAAACTCTAACCATCATCGTCTTCATTGTCATCACAATCGACGACCGCTATCATCTTTATATCGCATGCCTCATTAAAAATGTGGGTACAGGATGTGCTCATCTAATATTTCGTGAACCGTGAATGAATGGAAAGTTTTTTTTCAATTTGCTAGAATTATTTTACTTATTTCACATTTCTAAATATATCGTTTGATTCAATTGACACTCCGTACAAAATAGCATGGCTCTTTTCACGCTTGGTGACAATACCCTTTCCAATCAAAACTTCACCTGATGGTAAAAACAGCTTTTGCAGATAAACCTTTAATGTTCATTATTCATGTGTCTGCTGCACAGGCTCTACGTTTACTTTCAACAAACGAGACCGCACGTTACTACTCTCTCTTCAATGATCACTCCACGGCATTGACTATAGCTATTGATTTTTCTCTTCAGAGCCATGTCCAAGTGGTTACATTTGCCCCCATGAAGGAAACACAGCTATTCGAATCCCCGCAGCTGTCTTGCCAGGTAGGTGGAAACAACAGTTATGCAGAAAAAATATAAAACTGCTCTTCAAGAGGTAACGGATGATAATTACTATCAATATATGCATTAAAACGCTGGTTAAAGGACGAGCACTCTGACTGGATTTTACACCCGGGGGAGGGGGGCACTGACATATATGGGCTATATAGGTATGTGCCGCTGTGAAGGGTATGGTTTTCAAGCAGTTTACTCTAGGATAGGGTATATAAATCAGATCGTTTGGGTCTAGAATAGGGTATAATTTTTCACAAAACTGACTAGTTGGACGAAGATTTTATCTAGACTAAGGAAACCAGGAATTGCCACTCAAAAATATAAAAAAATCAAATCGACAAGTTTAAATTTACGCAAATCAGCCTCANTACTCTAGTATAGGGTAGCAAAATTCAGCTGAACTAGCTCTGGTATAGGTTAAGGGTTCCAGGGTCCCAGCGGCACTTCCCCAACCAGAAATTCCCAAAGTACCCCCCCCCCCGGGATTTTACACACGGTTACAATATTCTGGAAACAAACTTTCAAGATCTCTGCTGTCGCGTTTGCGTAAGGTCTTGTAACATGCTGGCCTGTTTGGGCTATAAGACTCGTTTCTCCACTTTTTCTGTGCCATCTGGGCAAACAAGGGTAAAATTCACAATGTATGTATATGCATGTTTAGCATATGTCTTCTAGCGTTCTATGACGAATGCCGTTCTCTGATTCGCTACGTTATTCATTATCTATTCTGTTGTAGATAGTGGATACCGTATTACCACCATGACTTTTTAACGCCCTCTTTTAATTGTAGGATCGAATGGTGTATTCGTGGCACAAAGTAAAAGCAAAGGGTCTTGCTCCGTTTTTCAAGGTTACTTGCTGATATTTGTGTACATACCTATGGCTTTACATGGATGTCTGGGGTCTTGCTGATTGCTTCCTGAAGTGTTGAGGTTGATAAGATAATGAAAACTGCAAAATACCTTACAAAGATAACTGTACTAGAGTAATGGTGATATAGGGTAAAAGGCAAAACCTTTTTTAGCTTGTAGAAAGTAATGCGCTGGTATAGTTTTTTTTATCGAATATTTCTTATAATTGACAGCCGTAAATGCCGTTTTGGTGACATCGATTGCGCGATGGCGTCATGGTTACTGTGCAGGTCTCCGGATCGAGCGGTCCGGGTTCGAGCCCTGGCCAGCGTAATTGCGTTGTGTTCTTGGGCAAGACCCTTGACGCTCACAGTGCCTCAATTCACCCAAGTGTAAAAATGGGTACCGACGAACGTAATGCTGGGGGTAACCCTGTGATGGAATAGCATACCATGCAGGGGGGAGAGTGGAAATACTCCTAGCACCGGGATAAGTTCCGACCTGACGATCACTTGACTCGTATTGTACTTCTTAGATTAATTCACTAGTTTTAGTTGCATCACTCGGCAGGAAAACATGTTTCATTGTGCAATCAAACGGAAGACAGATGACTCGTCGGACACCTTCAACTGAAAATTCAGCAGCAAATTTTAGAAATATGGACGTGTAATAATAGCAACAGTACAGATAACTGTGAAATACGGTAGCTTAAAATCGTATTCACCCGAGTTTTAATTAAGGCCAGTGTACGCAAAGAAAAAAAGGCTTTGCATACATTGTAGCTGTTATTTCTTTCACGCGTCTTTTAGTTTGAACTAACTGGGCTATACTTTATGGAGATGGGCCGAAGATTTCTGACCGTCAAATGTGACAGAGTATTTGGGCACCACCAAGAGACTTACGATTTTAAGCTTAAAATAGATTGATTGAAAATGATTATCATGGGGAACGGGGATTTGTTCTCTTAGATCATAGTCTCTTGGCACCACGTGAGACAACACAACCTGGCACCTGGTGATTTCTAGCCCAATAAATCTATCAATATTACATCTATTGGGTTTAAAGCCATATTTATGAATTTCTCTGTGTGTTGTTTAGTCAGTGATCGTGTAACAAGTAAATGAAGACAAACGGCAAGCTTTTCTCAATCTGACCATACCCCGAAACTATAAAAAGTGACTAAAAACGGCACAGTCGATTGAAAATAATCTGCTGTACCCAATTATTGAAGTCGGAGAAAGCAAACCACTTCACTATAATTTTGAATACTATTCTTAGTTACCACCATACTGAGTCAAGTTAATTAACTTTCAATCCCCACCCCACCCCGCAGAAACAACTGAGTAACAGAATCTAGAAAGTTTCCATAATGATCCACACTATCTACGAGTTATTACTCTTTTTATCTTATTTAATTACCTTTGTTGAGAAGCTCTTTTTTATTGATCACCTCTCGATTCCTTTTTGCCTGTAAAATTGTTAATGAAGTGTGATGTAACGTAACAAAATTAAATAAAGCGAAACGTGATGCGATGCAAATATGGAATATAGAAGTTCCATTCTTTCTAACTGATCTATTATTTGAAACAGGACTTCCTCTTTACCCATACCCCCCTCCCCTTCCTCGAGGTAACGATAGCTTTACTTTAGCAAGAAGCTTGTAACAACCTTNCCCCCCCCGACCCCTCCTTCAACCCCGCCCTGAAAGCAAAACTGCAGGTAGTAAACAGCTTTACTTTAGTTAGAAACTTGTATCCAGCTACGGTCACGCGAGATCATATTTTGTTATTCGCGCCCGCGTGCACAGTAAGATCTACTGAGTGAACCTGGTGAAGGCCTTGTGGAAAATATCTTGAGTGCTATAGCTTATTACAATATTAGTACTATAGCTTTTTATAAAATAATCTGCCAGTTAAACCATTTTATAAAATAAGGGGTAGAAACATTAAAGGTGCACCCTGTGGTAACAATTAGTAAAATGAACTACGATAAAACTTGCTTTAAGATGAATAAATAAGTTATAATTACTGGCGGACATGTTTTTTTTATTTCTTCTTTTTTATTTCTTGCAGCAGCCGCTTAATCTTCTCACGGAATATGAAACTAAACAGAAGTTGAGTAACGATGGTGTTCGGATTATGCTGTGTTTATATAAGAGTCGTTGCTCCACTGCCTTAGCAAACGGCCTGGCAACAAGGAAAGCATACGCATGCTTCCAGACGAACCCGCATAATCGGGACCTCAATGAGGTTACGCGACCAGGATTCCGGGAAACAGTAACCAGGGATCAGTTTCATTAGTCAAAAGCTCTATCAGCAAGAAGAAAAACGTTTCGGTTCCGAGCGCAAAATGCCGCAGTTGGCAAAACGTTTTTAAAGCTCCGGGGTGCGACTCTGCGTTACGGTGCAACGCTTCGAGTTGCGGACGAGCTAACAGCTACGGGTGCGGGCAGTGTTTTAATGAATGATCTCTTGAAATGGGTTCGAGGTGAATTGAGCTGGGAGGTGAATAATAAGTACGTCCAGTGGAATAAACTTGTCAAATTTATACCTTTATTGTGGGATTAACGGCAATACCGGGAAAACAATAAATCCCCGAAAGCGATGCTTTGCGTGTATAAAGTTACGTCGGTCGCTTTTTGCATAAGACAAAATCAAACGAATGCCCATCACTCTTTGTTTACTTCGCGGCTAGTTTCTACTATCACTCTAATGGATACGTCTTCATACAATCGTGTTGAAAGTAAAACCGTACTTTGTGAAGGCCGCCTTGGTAAACAAGGCATAGTTTCAAAGCCATGACATTAGCGTGAAGTAGTCTGTTTTTATGAAGGGTAGTTTTAAGAGATGAACGCAAAATATCACAGATTACCCAGCTTTCATTGAGATTAAAGCGAATCACGTTTGCGCGGCCTGAGAGCAAGGATAAGGATTATAAGTACATTACGTCTAAGTCCACACGCTCATCTGCTAGTAATGAAAGCTTGTCAAAAGTTGTACTAAGTGTAAATATACATTAAGTAAATCACATTCTTCAGGCTTTTGAAACTGCTCAACAAAAGCTCATTTATTCCAATAATGCAGTAAACATTTTTTTATGCCCAAAATTTCTCACAAAGCAACATGAAGCCACAAAAGAACCCCAGTATGACGAGTGCTGCAGCTAAACCTAATCTAAACTTCTCAATCGAAAATATTCTCAAGGAAGAAAAACCTGCGAAGGTTTTACTTTCTTCCGAACGTGTTCCCAGCAAGGAAACTGAAGGAGTTCAAGAAGGAACACCTTTGCCTGTAGAGAGAACGGTAACCAGCGATCTTCCGTGGTTGGCGTACACGCGGTATTCTCCCCCAAAAATTCCAAGTAAGTTTTGAGAGCTCTGAATTCTCAATGGTAAGCACTTCTTTGTAAATTAAGACAGTTATATTACGGGAAGTGCCAATAACTACTGAAGAATTGTCTCATGTAAATTTAATAAGGGAAAGAAGATTTACAAAATATCATTAAGAAAGTAAAATACTAAGCTAAGTAGGGAACCCAATATGTGTGTATGGGCCTTACTGCAGCGGCCTCAGTATTCTTGTCGAGACATTCTTTAAGGCACGAGGGGCAAAGTGACTTAAAGACCGATGTTCTGTCATAGCTACGACAGTACGAGAAACTTAACTCACAATAGAACAAACGCTGCACAGACACAAAGTGGAAGGTAAAAAAAATTGAGAGATACGGAAAAAGCTTGGAAGTTAAGAAAATGTTTGCAATTTTGTTGCAGGGTCAAAAAATCGTAAGACTGTCAACAGACGAAAGGTAAGTGGTAGCCCAAGAGTTCCATTTTCAACAGAACAGCTCCTGCAGTTGGAGAAAAGCTACGAGGACACCCACTATGTTACCGCAGCTAAAGTATCACAGCTTTCTGCAATGCTGAAGCTTCCAGGAAACCGCATTAAGATTTGGTTTCAGAACCGCCGCGCAAGGGAAAAAAAGAAGTCCAAGAAGATGACCTGTGATGATGGTGGCCATCAAACGCTAAGTGACATATGTGTTGAGACAAAAGTCCGTGAAGAGCCTCACGAGGAAATCAACCAAAACATCTGCCCATCGCGTTTTACTTGTCCAAGTTATGAGAGAATACATCCCAGTTTCTCACCGAGGCGTGCACACGAGTTACAATGTAGCACTTGTTTAAACATAAATGGATGGCAGAGTATATCAAACTTGCCACAAACCCATCTATCAAGTTGCTTTGACTGTGGTCTGTACAAAGGATTTAGGTATCTCGTGTAATTTATTTTGTGTTATCTCGCCGATAATCCATCTGTACGTGTACGATCGTTAGAAAACATAATACTGGACGCAACTGACAGTTACTAAAGTATGATAGTATGGTTTAATTAATTTCTGTCTCCACTTCTGTCTATGTCCAGTTTCAAAACGGACACTTCATTCTTATATAACCATAATAGAGTCTTCCGCGTTCAGGAAGACATAACCGTTAACAGTATCGTATTGAACGTATCAGTTAAGAAACAAAACAGCCGAAAAGTGAAATACGCTGGTTTATGATTTTTAAAAAAGGGCCATACAGAGCATAAATAGCACAAAACCGTTGCAAGTTTTCCATTTGTCACGCGTGCGCAGTGACGAGGCCACATCATGGTCAGGAAGGAATATTTCTTGCAGCTTCGTTTTCCACCGTGCTGAACTCCCCTCGCGAAGCCCGGCATTTAATTATTCGACCTCAAAGATCGTGCCTTCAAAGGAAAAA